CCTTTGCCCCAACCCTCAACCCCTTTTGGCACAAACCTCGACTCTTTGCCAAACTGTCGAGCACTTTTTGCCCAAATCTGGATTGTTTACCCAACCTTTGACTGGCTTTGGCCCAAATCTTGACGGTTCACAGCCAATCTCAGCTGCGTTTGTCTTCAACCCCCCTTTGCTGTGAGTCCCAGACCCCGACTCTGAGCCCAAACATTTTCTGTGCCCCGACTTACACCTTCCTCACCCCTTGGCCCCCACCCCAGACCCCTCTCCTCAACCCAAACTCAGGGGTTCTGTCTGGAAACAAAGGTTTTGGGGAAGAAAGTGGGATTTTGGGATGTGGGGCAGGGAGGTCGGGCTCAGGACAGGGAGGCCGAGACTTGGGGGGAGGATCTTGGGAAGGTCCTGGGTGTCTGTTGACCCCAGTCTGTGCCAGGGCTGGTGGAGGTGACACCGGAGCCCTGGTAGAGGGGGTGTAGGGCAGGCATTAGGGTCAAAAGGAAAGAATTTGGGGTCGATACAGGGTTTTGTGCTTGGTGCCAGGGTCCAGACTCGGTACAAGCCCCGGGTCAGTGTGGGAAGGGATTGGGGGAGATGGTGGGATGTGGGGACACGGTGATGTGGTCGGGGCCACCAGCAGCATAAGCACCACAATAACCATCACCAGCAGCTTTGGCGCAGTAGTAGGTGGCCGTGTCGTCCTCCTTGAGGCTGTTCATCTGCAGCGTGACCGTGCTCTGGGAGTTGTCCCTGGAGATGGTGAAGCGACCCTTCACCGACGGCGCGTAGTAGGTCCTACTACCATCGTTGCTAATTTGTGCGACGTATTCGAGCCCCTTCCCAGGCGCCTGTCGCACCCAGCTCATGGAGAAGCTGCTGAAGGTGAAGCTGGAGTCCCAGCAGGACACGGCTCTGGGCAGGAATTTGGGCACCCAGCAGGATTTTGGGCTGGTTTCAGGGGAGTTGAGGCGCAGGGCGAATGTGTTTGGCACCAGGGAGGGGTTTTGGGGAGATGCTGGGACCCAGGGAGGGGACGTGTGGGCTCAGGTGAGGGGTCTGGGCTTGGGGATGGGTCCAGGCTGAGGGGAAGGGTTTTGGGGAGATACTGAGATGTGGGGACACAGCCCAGGGGTGTTGGGGAGCGGGCGAGGAGCTGGGGGAGCGATGGGGGGACCTTGGGGGTGACTCAATTGTCTCCTTCCTCTCTCCCTCCCCAGGGCTGCGGGCGGCCGTGGAGCTGACGGAGTCCGGAGGGGGCCTCGTGACACCCGGGGGGTCCCTCACCCTCCGCTGCAAGGCCTCCGGCTTCGATTTCAGCAACACCGGCATGGGATGGATGCGACAGGCACCTGGGAAGGGTCTCCAGGGTGTTGCAGGGATTAACTTCAATGCTGGTTACAGCTGGTACGCGCCGTCGGTGAAGGGTCGCTTCACCATCTCCAGGGACAACTCCCAGAGCACGGTCACGCTGCAGATGAACAGCCTCAAGGAGGACGACACGGCCACCTACTACTGCGCCAAAGCTTCTGGTGCTTATGCTGTTGATGGTGGTAGCACCAACCCCAACCCCGTGTCCCCACATCCCAGCCCTGGTTCACAGAATCAGAACCGTCCAGGTTGAAGGCACCTTTCAGCTCCTCCCGTCCCACCATCCACCCAACTGGGCCCAAACCCACCACTGACCCATGTCCCTCAGCACCACGTCTGCTCACCTTTGGGATACCCCCAGGGATGGCGGCTCCACCACGTCCCTGGGCAGCCTCTTCCAAGGCTTCACGACCCTTTCCCTGGAGACGTTTTCCCCCATTTCCATCCTGAACCTCCCCTGGGGCACCTTGAGGCCGTTCCCTTTTGTTCCATGGCCTGTTCCTGGGGAGAAGAGACCGACCCCCCCCGGCTACACCCTCCTTTCTGGGGGTTGGAGAGAGCGAGAGAAGGTCTCCCCTCGGCCTCCTTCTCTCCAGGCTGAACACCCCCAGCTCCCTCAGCTGCTCCTCACAAGACTTGAGCTCCAGACTCTCCACCAGCTCCATTGCCCTTCCCTGGACCCGCTCCAGCCCCTCCAGGTCTTGCCTCTTGGGAGGGACCCAGAACTGGAGCCAGCCCTCGAGGTGGGACCTCCCCAGTGCCCAGTAGAGGGGGAGGATGGAGGCTTGGGGGCCAAAGCAGCTGAGATTGGCCTCAAAGTGTCAAGACTGGGGCCAAAACTCATCAAGGGGGTGGACAAACAGTCAAGGTTTGGGCACAAACTTTGGCAAACAGTCAAGATTTGGCCAAAATGCACTGCGGGTTGGGGGAAAACATCAAGATTTGATATAAAAGTGGTGGAATTTGGAGCAAGGAGTGGAAACTTGGGGCCAAGAGTCAAGATTGGGGAAACATTGGTTGAGGTTTGGTACGAAGGGTTGTGATCTGGGGCTAAAGGATCAATGCTGATGGAAAGGGTGAAAGCTTGGGGAAAAAATGTCTGGGTTGGTGAAGGGATTAAGAGGGATTGAGGAAGATGTGGGGACCCAGCACTGGGATGTGGGGACACGGTGATGGGGTCGGGGCCACCAGCAGCACCATAAAACCAACCACAACCACCATCAGCACATTTGGCGCAGTAGTAGGTGGCCGTGTCGCCCTCCTTGAGGTCCTTCATCTGCAGCGTGACCGTGCTCTGGGAGTTGTCCCTGGAGATGGTGAAGCGACCCTGGACCGACGGCGCGTACCAGGTGTAACCAGCATTGAAGTTAATCCCTGCAACACCCTGGAGACCCTTCCCAGGTGCCTGTCGCATCCATCCCATGCCGGTGTTGCTGAAGGTGAAGCCGGAGGCCTTGCAGCGGAGGGTGAGGGACCCCCCGGGTGTCACGAGGCCCCCTCCGGACGCCGTCAGCTCCACGGCCGCCCGCAGCCCTGGGGAGGGAGAGAGGAAGGAGACAATTGAGTCACCCCCAAGGTCCCCCCATGGCTCGTCCTCCAGTTCAGCCCAGCCCAGACCCCTGCACCCATCCCACCTCCTTGCCCTCAGCCTCGGCCATTGTCCCAAAGGCCATTCTTCTTCCACCCAGTGAGGGCCCCCGCAGCCTGGACCTCCTAATGGTGCCCCAACCCCAGCCCAGTGCAGAACCCCAACCCCCGGGGTCACCTCCAGAGCCAGAAACGTGCCCTCATGGAGCACAGTGAGGGTATACGGTGTCGGGGCCACCATCAACCCAACCACCACCACGAGCATCTCTGCCGCAGTAGTAGGTGGCCGTGTCGTCCTCCTTGAGGCTGTTCATCTGCAGCGTGACCGTGCTCTGGGAGTTGTCCCTGGAGATGGTGAAGCGACCCTTCACCGACGGCGCGTAAACTGTGGTACGACCAGTGTTGCTAATAACTGCGACCAACTGCAGCCCCTTCCCAGGGGCCTGTCGCACCCAAACCATGTTGTAGCTGCTGAAGGTGAAGCCGGAGGCCTTGCAGCGGAGGGTGAGGGACCCCCCGGGTGTCACGGTGCCCCCTCCGGACTCCGTCAGCTCCACGGCCGCCCGCAGCCCTGGGGAGGGAGAGAGGAAGGAGACAATTGAGTCACCCCCAAGGTCCCCCCATGGCTCGTCCTCCATCTCCGCGGGCGGGGAGGGGGGTGTCCCTGGCAGGGGGGGAAGGGCTTCAGGAAGATGTGGGGACCCAGGGCAGGGATGTGGGGACACGG